AGCAAAAATTGAACATAATATCAGAATTTATTAAAATTATTAATAAAAAGTTTTCACAAATGGAAATAAAGTTGGCTAACTTTGAAAAACAGGTAGATGTATTAAAGTTTGAAAATAATCAAATTAAACAAAAATTGTTGGGTAATAATATTACGATAATTGGGATTTATATGACGAAAGATGAAAATCAAGCTAATATTATACAAAAAATATAATCTATTTTAAATGTTAATTGTCCGGTGGATGAAATTACTAATGTTTTCCAAATGAATCCAAAACATGATAATGGAAAACTAATCGTTCGTTTTAAAAATAAAATAATCAAAGATGATAATTTATTAAAAATTAAAAATCGTAGCTAAAAGTAATAATCTTTCTAAGTTCTAAACCGATGAAAACCGGTAAGAACAGAAATCTTCTGGCATAGCACTAAACATTTGGGTTTTAGAAATCTAATAAGTCTTATCAGTGGAGCTCACCTTTCTTAGTAAAACCAGGTTCAATAGGTTATTAATGTTATTACAAATAAATATCCTAATGTACCTTTTTAATGCTAACTGCGTCTGGTCATTTTTTTAGGTAGGTATATGTAAATTTCAATCGAACTGCTTTTGTTCAAAATAATAATTAACTTTTTTTGGTTAAAATATTTTCTGATAATGATTAATAATTATGTTCATCAAAACTTTCAGTTACAGAATTAAGACTATTCAATTTTATTGCTAGGCACTTAAACGTTTTACATAAGACACCAGTACACCACGGTTTAATATTATTATTTAAAAACTTATGAAAAAAAATTTTTGACCACCAACAACATAATATAATTTTAATTTTACATTTAAAAAAAAGGTAAATAATAAATACAATCTTGTTCTTGAATAATTTAAGTGTCATAATATCCTTATGTTATTACTGATTAGTGATTATCATTACATTTATAATATTTTTTTACCTATATGTTGTGTAGATTGATGTAATAGTAATGAATCTTGTATTGTATACTTTTTTTACAAAAACCGCAATAAAGTTTTGGTATGTGCGTTGTTATGTGTCTATAATATATATGTAATATATAAATATTATATAAAATTGTATATATCTGTATCATCTATAATTTTATGTGCATACAATTTTTAATTTTATCAACTAAATGTTTTTTTTTTGTATTTGCCATAAACGAAAAAGTACTTTACAGACAACATTACTATTATTATTATTATTATTTATTATAATCAACGCCAGACGGCTTTTACAAAATTAACAGACAAGAAGTACATTGATAACAGTAAAAAACATATACAATTTAAGATGCAAACTTATACTAACTTTAATATTAGAGAGAAGAAAAAGAAATAGTAAGTAAGTAAATAAATAAATAAAACAATATGGTGTAAATTATGTGAACAAGATGTGAGCCTTCATACTTCATATGGTTTAATAGTCTAAATCAGGGGTCGGCAACCTTTTTAACCACACGGGCCATTTTTTTTTTTCAATTGTTCATCAAGGGCCACATTAAAAAAAAAAAAAATGACATATTATGATATAATACTTATAATTGTATTGCTATTATGAAACGGTTAGATTAGATTTTATTTATAAAGGAAAAAGAATTATATAATATTGAAAATTATATGAAAAATGTTATTGAACAAAAGTAAAACATAAAAATTAACCACCTTTGTGCGGGCTATCAAAAATTGCTCTGCGGGCCGCATGCGGCCCGCGGGCCGCGGGTTGCCGACCCCTGGTCTAAATGATTATTTGCATTATTCATCATCCTTAAAAGTAAGGCATTCCTGGAGAAGTTAGATTTATTGATGGGTATATAAAAATTACACTGAAGCCTAGTGTTATTAGGAATACGAAAACTAAGATCTCTTCAAAAATATAGATGTTGAACCTCAAAGGATTTTAACCATTCGTTTTTTATAACTTGAATAACACAGATAGCTTTTTATTGTCATTATAACCATATAAACAGATATGTTGAGTATAATTTATTTTTCAATGACTAAAAACAGGTTAAAATAAAATAATGAGTACAATTACCAAGTAAAAAACCATTATATACAATTATTGTATTAAATAATAAATGTGTATGTATATTATTTTGTTTTTCTATAGATCCAAGTTCAATAGTTAATTTTAAAATTTTGGCGGAATCTCGGACCTCATAAAAACAAAAATTTTAAATTCATAACCTCAAATAAGTATAACCTACATCACACGTGCATAACATTTGATCTAGATACCTATTAACAAGCGGACAACTGATATAAATTAATCTTCCAAAACCGTATTATAGGTTATTATTTCTGTCGCATTCATATAGGTATTGTGGTAGCGGTAACCACTTGTGAGTCGTTTATTATATATCTATTCCACGTTTTGACGTCGATCGAACCGTACTGACCAACTTAAGTGAAACCAAGTTCTTTTAAGTGTTACGTTCAAGTCTCTCAATTATACATTCCGTGGACCAACGTAAGTATCTAATATAAGGCATAGCCCGCGCGTACATAGGTATATAAGCATACGTAATATGCACGATAACACTTTTCTTAGCTTTGTATGTGAATTAATCAATGGAGCTATAAAGACAACCACATAGTCTTTCCGTTCGCATTACTATTATATACAAATATGTCAAAAACTTTTTTTTTTTTTTCTGTCGGCGTTGGATTAACTACATTTGCGTCAGTGTGAAGTCTGTCACGATTGTTTATTCATTAGTTTTTTTTCTCTTGCCATAATTATTATTGTTCAGCGTCAGATCTTTTGTTACAACGTATTTCGAATCGTTACAATTTTCCGTTTTTTTTAACATTTTTTGTTATCATCGACGTCGAACGCTATCACTTAACATGTTCAAGCTACTACCGCTGTAATAACCGGAGCAAGCCATGCATTCCGTCAGCCAACATAAGTACTTAACATTAGTCGCCATTATACGTGTGTACATACACAAGAATTTGTAATATGTACGATAACAATTCTCTTAGCCTAGTGTGCGAATTGATTAAGAGACAATGATCTCTGTTTCCATAATAATTTTGTCTTTTTGATGATGGGAGGGGGAGTCGCCGTCATTAATTTTGGATCCCGTACGGCGTCTTGCTTCTTGCATGTTTATTTAAAAAAAAAAATATTTATTTGACGATAAATCTACTCGATCTTCGAGTTATATGTCGCCGTTACCATTCACGATCCAAGGCCCTTCAAAATTGTTTTTTTCTATTAAATTCGGTGAAAAATAACATTTTAACGTGTTCACCATTATAAGTTAGTATTGTTCCACATCAACACATAGTGATGAAGAAATGTTGTGACTAGTGTTGTACATGTATTCTGAAAATAAACGCTTCCAATTCTCTTAACAAATTTCTTTAGGATCAAATATTGTGTTCTATAGTTGTATTTTTAAGTACTAAGTTATAGTAATGGTTTTAAGGATGTGTTTTTAGTATGTACTTGTGTAATGTTCAATGAGTTTGATAATTTAAAGTAATCCTTATAATTATTTTTCTTTGTTGCTCAAAGTAGGATATTGGTGGTGTCAGATACTGCACCATATTATATGAGTAGAAGAAATGTGTAAAGGTTAAATATTTGGACAATGATCATATTATACTTAAGAATAATTCATATTTTAATATTATAGTATGTTATAGAATGTGAATAAAAATAAGTATATATTATATTTTGATCCACCTATAATGGTTTTTTGTAAACCAACTTCCCTTTTGATATTTCTTACTGTCTGTTTCAGGTTAATTATTTTGTTTCAAACATCTTACAATAAAACTTAACAATATAAATATTATAACAATTCTTTGAAAATTCATTTTGTAATTTACATTAATTTTAAATGTACACTTCAACCAATCTACTCTTATAAAGTAAATGTTACAGATTGTTTTATTAATTGTTACCAAAAGCATAAACCTTATAATTTTTGTTATTATATTAAATATATAGTAATGGAGATTATAAACCACTTGTAGAATATTCTGTTACAAACGTAGTTAAGCCATTTTTTAAGATGTATACAAATAATGTAATTTAATAGTAATAAAATTTCAATGAATCCAATATGTGCAATACAAAGATTTAATTATAATCAATTGGTTACATTTCATATTTGTGAAATATATTTCAAAGAATTGCCTCTAATTTTAGAGTAAAAAATTGATATTTAAAAAACTAGAATATTATAAACACATTATATAGAAAAATGTTTAAAACTTCAAATATAATTGAACAAAGAAAATTTTTATGAAGATAAAAATAAAAGATAAGTGTGATTATAATCACTTGGAAAATATACAAAAGCTATACATTCTATTTGTAATTTTACTTATAAAATTCCTTATTTTCTCTCGCTTGTTTATCTTTATCTTTTAAGTTACAATGCTTATTTATTTACAAAAGAATTTAAAAATGATAAAAATGTAATAAAATTAATTTTCCAAAGAATGGAAAAAATATATATTTTTTTTTTTTTCAAAAATTATAAATTGTTACAGATTTAGTAAAGATAATGTGATTATATTAAAATTAGAGTTAAGATTTATTGATTCTTTTAAATTTAGTTACTAGAAAATAAGCTTATCCTTATGAGTATGTGGATCATTTTGAAAAATGTAACGAAACATGTTTTCTGTCTATAACATTTTTTTATAATTCTTTTACTGATAAAAATATAACAATAAAAGATTTTGTGATAATTTATTTTTGTGTTCTTAATTCATGGAAAATTAATCAGAAACAATGTTTTGAAACAGTAAATTAACATAAGTGCATCAGTAATAGTATATTTACTTTACTATTAGCTATTAACCGTAGAATAAGTAAATACAATTTGAGTCAGTATCTTGATGTTTAATTTATATTATTATAGGTTCAATTTATCACATATGAATAATTTTTTTAGCTTCTGCGCCAATTGTTAAATTTCCAGAGCTGTTCTTCCTAAAGTCATTTTACCTGAAGCAATGGACGTTCAACATCTTCAGGATTCAGCTTTACTACCACAACTAGTCGATGTACCTGGTAAAATTTTATGATAATAATTTAAAATGTTAACAGTTAGTTTTTAAATAATCATAGTTGTTTTTTTTCTATTTATGGCAAAAATTTTTACTTTACCATATTCTTTAGGAAATTAATAAGGAAATTGTTAGACTTAAGATATTATGTTGAATAATGGGTTAATTTGATATTGTAGGCGAAACTGTTTTGATGTTATAATCAACGGTTAATCAATAACAACATGTATAGCTTATTTAGACATGTGATAAGATAGTCAAGGTTAGTAGTGTAAAGCCATGCTCACAGAATTGCATCTATGTTGCCTGCATGTGTTGTCAGTGTGCTAATTAAATATTCTAATTGGTTTTTAATTTTTTAATACAGAATATTCAAAATATTCATTATCTGACATGAGTATTGTAGGACCTTTCTCATAATCTCACCTCTCTTGGATTAAACAATTATGAAAAGCCTATTTTTCCATAACTATAAATATTATGCAATTATAAATACTGACTTGTTTGTTAAAATAAAATAGTTCTATTTGGAAGTATCTCCTCCTGCACTACTATGGATTATGTTACAAATACTTAACAGGAAATCTATCTAAATTTCTAGTTGTTTAAATAAATAACATTTCTCCATTTTTTTTTTAAACCTCAACTTATTATTTTACATCAATGGAGTTACAATAGCTATTGTAAAATTACAATCTTCTAAAACTTACATTGCTGCTCAATTTGAGCTATTTCCTGAATTATATTTATTAACTGCTTCTGTAAGAAATGTCATGATTGCATTACCACATAATGCATAAAAATGTTTAGAAATCTTGCAATAGAGATAGTACACCCATTGTAGATTTGGAAGGTTCCCATAATCACCTGCATATACATAATATCTCTTCCCCTTTTTATTTTTTAAAATAGGGTTTAATTGTAAATAATGTTTTTGATGGTATTTCTCGAGGGGAGTTGTAATTTAAACTTTATACAATTTATAAAATGTTTATTATTAAATATTCTTTGTTTTGATAATTTATAGTATTCAATAGTCCAAGTCGGCCAGATTTAGGACAAAAAGGACGATCAATTGCACTTCGTACTAATCACTTCAAAATATCAATACCACGAGTTTTTGTGCATCATTATAGCATTAATGTTCAACCAGATAGTTGTCCACTAATTATTAATAAGCTAATTATTCAGTATATGATTTCTGCATATAGTAAAGTTTTTAGTAGTGTTAAACCTGTGTATGATGGTGGAAACAACTTGTATACAAAAGATCCACTGCCTATTGGAAAAGATCAAATAGAATTAGAAGTATGTTTTTTTTCATTTAAATTATTTTATAATTAAATTAAATATTATTTGTTTTTATTGCAGGTTACGTTGCCTGGTCGATTTAGGGATAGAATATTTCATGTTTCCATTAAATGGTTAGCTCAAGTATCGTTATTAGCTTTGGAAGAAGCATTAGAAAGCCATTCAAGACAAATACCATTAGATGCAATTTCGGTTGGTTCATTTTATTCTACTAACTTTTAATTATTTATTAATGATAAATATTTATTATTTTTATTAATCTCTAATATTATTTCTTTATAGGCATTAGATGTTGTAATGAGCCATTTGCCATCAATGACTTACACAACAGTGGGTCGATCATATTTTACTCCTCCAAAAGGACATTGCCATTCTTTAGGTGGAGGTAAAGAAGTTTGGCATGGTTATTATCAGTCTGTCCAGCCATCTTACTGGAAAATGATGCTTAATATTGATAGTAATTTATTAATATAAAATAAATTAAAATTAGCTTATATACTACATATATCTATTTTTAGTTAACGTAGCACCCTTTTATAAAGGACAGTCTGTGATAAAATTCTTGTGTGAAATATTGCATATTAGGAATATTAGTAATAAACAAAAATCATTATCAGATTCACAAATATTAAAATTTACTAAAGAAATTAAAGATCTTAAAATAGAAATTACACATCGTGGGAAAATACGGATAAGATATAGAGTTTGTGGTGTTACAAAAAAATCAGCTCTAATGCAAACGTAAGTAATTAATTTTTAGATGTATTTACATTATCATACGTTTTTTGAAACAATTTTCAGTTTCCCATTACAATTGGAAAATGGTCAGATAGTAGAATACACTGTAGCTGAATATTTTTTAGACAAATACAAGATAAAACTAAAATATCCACATTTACCATGTCTTCATGTTGGACCAGAATATAGACATATTTATCTTCCTCTTGAGGTTTGTGTGCTTGGATAACTAATATGTTTTGACTACATCATAAAAGTATTTAATTATCTTTAACGTATAATTTAGCTATCAATCAAATTGTAATAATTCTGTTTCATCATTTTTTTAACTTCATATAGTATTATAGTATTATTCATGTACCTTCTGTATGTGGGTTAATTGCTCTAAATATTAATTATGATTATAATTGAATTTTACAAAGAATTATTAGTGTTTTTATGTAAGTTTCATTTGATTTGTTCTATATGATGCCAATAAAACAATTTTTAAATTTAAAATAACTTATATATTATAACAGGTACAAGTGTAGTAAAAATATATAATACGTGTAGTTGTGATGACAAAGTTATAAATTATAATGCAGATAATATTATGTTTTTTATAGAAAGTAATTACCATTGTTAACTTTTTTTATTAGGTCTGTATCTTGTTTGGGGGTCAACGGTGTATTAAAAAGTTAACTGAAGTTCAAACAACATCCCTAATTAAAGAAACTTCACACAATGCTCCTGAACGTGAGCAAGAGATTAATTCCTTAATTAATCAAATTAATTTGAATGATAATAAATATGTACAAGAATTTGGTCTTACTATATCAAATAAAATGTTAGAAGTGAGCGGTCGTATTTTAACACCACCAGAATTACAATATGGCGAAGGCACTTTACCTAACCAGGTATTAATTTATAACAATTTATAACTATTTATGTATAACTTTTGTTACCTTTACCATTTTGATAAGAAACTTTTCCTAAAAAATACTAAAACTTATTTAATTTTATAAATTATGTTTTATTTTATAGGAGGGAACTAATGTCCAACAAATATTGCCCAAACAAGGAGTTTGGGATATGAGAGGCAAAAAGTTTTATATAGGTGTTGAAATTAATGTTTGGGCAATAGCTTGTTTTGCACCTCAGAAATCTGTTCTTGAGCATGAATTAAAGTAATTAAAAATGTTTTATTATTATTATTAGGGGAAAATTGAAGTATTTAACAATGTATCATTTTATTATATTAATCTCCAAAACTTTGTATACATTTGGTTATTAGTTTCAATAGTTTCTGATGTATGTTTTTAATTTTAAGATATTTCATATCACAACTTCAAACAATAAGTAACGATGCTGACATGCGAATAGTTAGTCAACCATGTTTTTGTAAGTATAAAATGTACAACAAATATAATTTTACTTGACAAAGAATTATTTATTTCAACAGGTAAATATATAACAGGGATAGACCAAGTAGAACCTATGTTCAATTATTTAAATACAACATTTACTGGATTACAACTTGTAGTTATTGTTTTACCAGGGAAAACTCCAGTATATGGTATTTTAATTTTTGTTTGCAATATTTAATGTTTTCAGTTCATTTTATTAAAAATAATACATGTTTCATGAATTGTTATGATTAGCTGAAGTTAAAAGAGTTGGAGACACTGTTTTAGGAATAACTACACAATGCATTCAAGCAAAAAATGTTATTAAACCATCTATTCAAGTACTGTCCAACTTAAGTTTAAAAATTAATGCGAAATTAGGTGGTATCAATAGCATTATTGTACCAAGCATCAGACCTAAAGTACATAAACTTTTATATAATAAAAAACTACTGTTTTTTTTTTTTTTTTTATTATTATCACTATAAACATCTTCTAGGTATTCAATGAACCTCTGTTATTTTTGGGTGCATATGTAGCTCGCCCATCGTTATGTGACTTAAAAAGAAAATCCATTGCTGCAGTAGTTGGATCTATAGATGCACATCCTAGTCGTTATGCTACTACTGTACATCTCCAACAAAATAGAGAAGACTGTATTCAAGAACTTAGTTCTATGGTCAAGTATGAAGCACATACTATTTTCTATAGTAAATTAATATCATTAATTTTTTAATTTTAAAATTTAGAGAACTTCTAATCACATTTTACAAGAATACTGGTGGTTTTAAACCACATAGAATCATATTATACCGCGATGGAGTACCTGAAAGACAGTTGTATCATGTACGTTTAATTTTATATATATATAAATTATACCTACTAAAGTTGCATTTTTTGTAATTTCTTTTTTTTTATATAAAAATTGGATTTAGTATAATATTTTAGTTTCATTCAAGTATATAAAATATATATTTGAAATTAAATGGTGAAATAATTTAATTTTGTTCTCTAAAATAATTAATTTTAGTATGTGTTTATCTGTATATTACAATAAAAATAATCTAATTAATAAACCAAACTGGAAAAAAAAATATCAATGTAAATGTTTCACAATCATGTGCTTTAAAATATGAATGATTTTTATATCAATATTTATTTATAAAATGTTACATTCCTAATTTATATTATTTTGTTGATATGTTTTCTTATACTAACTGTTTTTTTTATTGACAGGTCCTACAATATGAACTTACAGCTATTCGAAAGGCATGTATGACATTAGATGGGGATTACAAACCAGGAATCACTTATATTACTGTTCAAAAACATCATCACACTAGGTTTGCATTTTATAGTATTTTAAGTTTTTATACTTTTAATAAATTATTTATTTTTTGCATTTTAGATTGTTTTGTGTTGACAAAAATGAACAAATCGGAAAATCTGGAAATGTTCCTGCTGGTACAATAGTCGATACTGGAATAACACATCCTACAGAATTTGATTTTTTCTTATGTAGTCATCAAGGAATTCAAGTAATAATTTAAAATAGTAATTTTTACTTTTATAAATTGTATTTTATAATAATAATAATAAACGTTAATAGGGAACAAGTCGTCCAAGCCATTATCATATTTTATGGGATGACAACCATTTTCAATCAGATGAATTGCAAACCTTAACATACCAATTGTGTCATACTTATGTCAGATGTACACGATCTGTATCTATACCTGCTCCTGTCTATTATGCTCACTTGGTTACATTTAGGGCTAGATTTCACTTAGCCGATAAATATGAAAGGTAACATTATTGAATTTATTTATTTTAAACTACGTTTTTAGTGGTCTTTTGAGAATATACTTCAACAGATATTGTTTAAATATTAAAGGTTAGGATAGTATTGAAAAATTGGTGTTAAATAATTTTAAACCGAGCCGTTTTGAAAAAATGTATATTCATTTTTTATTTTTGTCTTAACAACCTCTAGGAGCAGTAAAAATAATGAGTATTTTTTAAGTAATTAAAAAATATTAAAAATGCAGAAGCAGCTTTTTTTATGTGTGTTGTAAATACAAATTTTGATATTGAAATTGTATATTTGTACAAAAACTTTTATTTTATCTTTGGTCAATTTTCTTTAAATTTCTAATTATTATATCTTTATAACTTTTTACTGCTTCTCATATTATTATTATTTTTAATACTGTATACAATTTTCAAAACATTTAGATTAATTTAAATCTAATTATATCATAAAATTTTCATACCAGACTATAGTATACTGATATTGTCATAAGTTATTTACAATAATTTTGGAAAAAATAAACTGAATTAAAAAAATAGGTACTAAAATAATAGTATAAAATAATATGACACAAATTTTCCTGATATTTATTGTTATCTATTTCTTTTGCTTAATATTTGTTTTTTTTTTCATACACTTATGTCTATATAATTAAATATTTTTTAATCATCAAAAATACAAAATCACTCTTGAAAATAACTCTTTCTAACTATCTATGAAATATTCCCATTTTTTCAAGTTCTTTTTTTTCCTAATAATTTTGAAGTATATAAAAATTTTTACTTGTTTAAAAACCACTTTCCCTGGGGAATCTAAAGTGTTGTTTTTTATTTGTTGAGATTTTTTTTTTTAGTATTCTTGAACATAATTTTAATAAAAAAATTACTATATATTTTATTTAAAAATACAAACTGATATTATTAATAAAAAAGTTAATTTAAATCTGATTTGAAATTTTTTGTAAAATTCGTTGCTTAGTTCATACATAAAATTATGAAATAATGTAATTTTTTTTTTTTAGTAATGATGAATTACAAAAACCTGGCTGTAGTGAAGAAAAAAAGACAAGTATAATGGAAAATGCTATAAAATTACATGCTAATATTAAGAAAGTTATGTACTTTACTTAAAACAACACAATCAAAAAAAAAATTTCGGTGAACACATTATTTAATATTAGGTATAAATTATAATACAAAAATTATTTTTATTTCTATTAATAATTGGTGTATTCTAATCTTTTTACCAACTTAATCTCCATTTATCTGATTTTTAATTCTTCTATTTTTGAGTGAAAATAATAAATTGTAATAGTGATTAGTTTTTTTACTAATTGGTTAATTCCCATTTCTTGTTAACATGGAATATGTTATGTGTGGTTTTAATAATTAAATTAAAAACATAGTGCCAATTAATGTTAAATAACCTACAAAAATTTTTCAAAGTACTTTTATAGTAATAACTGATAAGTGTTTAAAATTGTATTTTATTTTTATTATTTTTTTTAATATTATTCCTGGAGTGTATATTTTTGTATTATATTACAAAAACTTTTTATATTTAAGTTAAATTATAGAAATCACTAATTACACCTGATGGCTAACTTTTAATAATATTGTTAATCTTAATTTTAGTATATAAGAATTCTATTAAAATTTTACTAGTGGTTATCTTGATCAAAAGAAACAAAATTGTATTAATTTTCCCTTATAATATTAATTAATACCTTCACTTAATACATGCATGTTATTTGTTAATTACCATAATATTTTAATATTAAAAAAATGAATATTATTCTATATTATTATTTAATTAGTTTAATAATTATCATTATTATATTTTAAACTATATATTTAATATTTGTATTATTTTAATTTTAGTTAGAAATTAAATTTTGGGTTATATTCAATCTGGTATTCAAAAAGTATACAAATTAACTTTTTTTGTCTCTTGAATTGCTGGTATAATTATATTTTATTTTTAGTGAGAAAAATAAAATGGTATAATTTTTATCTTACTCATTTATCAAATATATTATGCTTCTATTTTGTTACTTTGTTTTCTATAAAATTATGGATTCATTACTTTTTGTAAATTATAATAAAATTGTAAGAGATAGTTGTATTATTCATTATAACGTCGTTTGTAATTTAATATAGCAGACCTTTTTCAGATAATACATAATGTTATTATTTTTAATGACATACTTATCAAACGAGAGTACAATTTGTATTTATTTTAAGTAATACTATGTACTTCGTAATCGTTTTTCATTTTATTGATAGTCAGTTGTTCAACGACACTTTTTGCGGTCCTATATGCTGTCTGTACAATTACGAATTATTTTAGTGTTGCATAGTATTTATTAATCAATAAATTAATATGGCAACAAAACGCCCAGGTTCACCTTTAGTCGAAAATATTAAAAAAAATCGGAAAACTATTACTCTTACTACAAAAATTGACATCATAAAACGTTTTGAATCCGGTGAGCGAGCGGTGGAAATTGCTAATCATTAATGTCTTACACCAACTACCGTCTGAACTATTAAAAGCAATGCTGAAAAAAATTAAGGCAAGTGTCCAAAATACATCAGTTACTAGTTAAAATAAAATTAATCAAACCCGTAATCCTTCAATGGATAATATGGAAAAATGTTATGTTTGTGGATTGAGGACCAAAATCAACGTTGAGTGCCAATGAGTTTTAGTAGTATTCAGTTCAAAGCTAAATCACTATTTTAGTAAATTAAAAGAAGAAATTGGTGAAGAGTCTCATAATATTGAATTTAATGCTAGTAGAGGTTGGTTTGAGTGTTTTAAAAACTGTTTTAATTTTCATAATATAAAAGTTACTGGTGAAGCTGCAAGTTCTAATCAATCTGTGGCAAATGCTTTTATTTCCAAGTTAAAAAAAAATTAACGAAGAAGGTGGATACACGCCGAAACAAGTATTTAATGTTGACGAAACGGGACTTTTTTGAAAACGTAACGTATGCCTTCTAGAACTTAAATTGCCCAAAAAGAAAAATCAGCTCCAGGATTCAAAGCAGCTAAAAGTCGAGTAACAGTGTTGTTAGGCGGGAATGCTTTTGGTGATTTTAAATTAAAACCGTTACTAATTCACACAGCTGAAAATCCACGAGCTTTTAAAAATTGCTCGAAAGACAATTTACCAGTAATTTACAAATCAAATAAAAAAGCGTGGATTACTGGCTCTCTTTTCAGTCATTGGCTAACTGATTTTGCTATACCTGCCTGCTAAAAGTATTGTGAAAAAGAAAATTTAAGTTTTAAAATTTTACTTCTCATTGATAATGCTCCATCATACCATATACATCTAGATGAATTAGATGAAAATGTCAAAGTTTTTTTTTATTCCACCAAACACAACTGCTTTAATGCAACCAATGGATCAGGGAGTGATTGCAGCATTCAAAGCATATTATCTACGTCGCACATTTCGACAATTAATTGAAGCGACAGATAATGGAAACAAATCAAGTATTGTTGATTTTTTGAAGGAGTTATAAAATTTTTCATGCCATTCAAAACATTGGAAAATCCTGAGACGAAGTAACTCAGAAGTGTATGAATTCAACGTGGCGAACAATTTGGAAGGAATGTGTATTCGATGGACCAGAAACCATACCCATTTGTACAAAAAATCAAGATACCTACTCTAAAAATTGAGCGTAAAAAATTTCCCGAGCTAGAAGAAAAAGAAGATATTGATGAAGGTATTTATTCTTATGAGGAAGAACTAAGTAATGAAGATTTACTAGAGTTAAAACAAAATCAACATTATGACAAATTTCAATACGAAGTAAGCGAAAAACCGAATGAAAAAGTTCTTACGATAAAAGGATTATCTAAAGGCCTTCAAATTATAAAAGATGAAGATTCAAATCATGAAAGATTTTCGCAGGTTGAGCGAAATGTTTTGAACAGCTTAGTGTGTTACCGAGAATTGTATCATGATAAAAAAAATGCAGCAAAACAGTCAACATTTGGCTTATTTTTTAATTTTTAATTTTAATTTAATTGTAAATACGTATGTAAATCTAATAATCAGTTTTCATTAATTTTGATATAATATGTAATTTAATACAAAAAATTAATAATGTAAGAATAAAATAATTAAATCGTGCAATTATAATAACTATAATAATACATACATACATACATACATACATGATACATACATTGTTATTTATTGGCAGGAACCCTTTATAATAAAATGCATTTAAAAAGTGTTTTACTTAACGTTTTTTCGGTTAACGTTGTGTTTTCCAGGAACCTAACTTCGACGTTAAACGAGGACTTACTATATATATATATATATATATATAATTTAATTTATGTTTAATTATTATCTTTGCGGTTTTATGTGTTCAATAATATACTTAATTTTGAAATTATAAATGAATATAGTTGTATAAATGATTACATTCATAAACATATAATATATGTATATAAACATTATAATATAGTATTCAATCTTTGTTTGAAAGTATTTATTAATTTTTATAAATTATTGAATAAGCATTGTGTAACATCAGTTTAAATACTTTTCTGGTTTTAATTAAATTTTTTCCTACAGATTAATAATAAATAAATATAATTATCTTATGTTATTTATTTTTTAATCTATCCAACCTAACTAATACAGTCTTATTAGATTAATCATTAAAAATACAATATCACAAGTTTTGTTTTCTTCGAAAAATTGCAACACACAATTAATTTTTTGTCTGTGCGATACCTTTAAAACAAGGAGGTTGAGTTAGTCTTTTTTTTTTCTATTTTAGTAAATTAGTGAAATATATTGTGGCTTCTTTTAAGAAATTTTGTATAGTTCCTGATTCAGTTAATGCAAACAGATATGAGTTTTGGCTATACAAAGATATGCTATTAAGACAATCTAATAAATGATTGATAAATTTAATAAAATCTGCGGTATTTGATGAAATGTTACTTTGAAGTCATCCAGTTTGTGTACAAATTCGAATTGTTGCAGACATAGAATGGCTCAATAATTGTGCTGCTAATTTAGCACTCATTTTTTGAAAAGAATTTGGATAAATATGTGCATCTGTTATTTTTATTTAATTCTAAGATTTGGCTTATCAACTAAATAATTAAATATTTTAATCAACTACATTAAAAGGAATTCTATTTCTTATGAACAAATATTCTAATTTTTGAACGTTAGCGATTATCTAACTTCGCTCTTTCTCCCTCACCACCAAAAGTACTATGGTAGAGGTACTAGAACCTTGAATCTGGATAGTGGACACCCTACGCATTACTCACCAACTTATGAAAGGGTAGTGGATATTGCCAACTTTACACCACTTCAACACTAGCGCTATCTATCGGTTGTATCACATTTACACTAGCACTTCCCTACTGTTGCATCATTTTCTACACTAGCGCTCCATACTGAGACTGCATCATATGAATGGTCATCAAATATTAAAATTGCATTGTCAGTTCATCTATAGAATGGACTCTATTCTAAAGTCAATAATTTAAAACTTTTTACTATATAAAAAAACAGACACAAAAAAAGTGTTGAGTATAAATCCTCACTAAGTTTTAAGTAAAGTGTATAATCAAGTGATTGTACTGTTTATACTAGTACACGTCGAGTATATCATATTCCGGTGAGTTTAGTCTGTGACACGAGATGGCGCTATTCGACGAGTTTGTTTCGAAACCGTCATCTTGACAACAAAATGGTCTTTAAAAACTTTAAGTTAAATAAACTATCGGTTTTATTGATTTATAAGTATAAAATTTAAATTCAACTGTTTGAATATTTTCATTTATAATTATTGCCGTTATCGTTATTATTGTTTTACGGTCATCTCTGATAACGTGGCTACTAATTTTTAAGAATAGCGATCATCTATAATAGGATCTCGAAAAAACTTCCGTGTTGGGAGTTTTTGGCCACATCGTATGTAACGTAGTACATGCCTAATCGTAATTAACACGATTGGTGAGCACTATTTACATACGATGGGTTTGGTACTCCCAGATATAATTCATAAATAAATCATACATAAAATGGCAATTTTAGTATGTTCGTTGCGTCTAGCACGACACACGGAGAGAAAAATGC